TGAGGCACACACTGAGAATACGTATTGGTTTCCAGAGCTACAGAAACAAATGTGTTGTGATGGTGACGCAACATGGCAAAACAACATGACGCACTTCATTCATACATTATATCATACACATAATACTTAACTGTTACGCATTGCACACCATAAACAAATATATTTGCAGAAATTATTTTAAAAAAAACACAAGGTCACTAAATGAATCAGCTAGAATTATACTTGTTTATTAAAAATCCACTACCTCAAGTTCTAGTTGATTCAAATGACTAATTATGGTGATCTTCACAACTAAATAGGTGGTATTACCAAAAATAATTTAGCATTAGTGATACCAATGGATGGATAGAGACAAGCATATCAAGTGACTGTTATGGAATACTCAGACAATCATAATGCAGAATAAGACAGAAATAGCAACTGCAAGTCATTAAAGCATAGTCATACCTTGCCCTGTGTCATGATGCCTGTCTGTTTTTCCTGTTGTCTTGTTCAGTAGTCCAACCAGTCAATGGGGCTCTGGTGTCTCCTTTCTTTAAGGTTTTTTTTGCAGTGTCTGGCCAGAGTACTGACAGCTGTGAGAGAGGACCGTGGATTAATAATGCTCCTCTTGCCTGCTCAGACTGGACACCATGTGACGATTTTGTGATGTAATCCACCAAAACAACGCAGTTAAGGCTTGTGCAGTTACCCCTCCCTCACCCACTGATGGGTGTTCTAGCTGCATCCAGGTGAAGCTGCATCATAGAGAAAAGCTGGGACTGTACCAATGTAGAAGGGAAAAAGGGGAGGATGGATGCCTGGATGGTGCGTGATAAGTGAAATCCAGATAATTCTGGAAGAATGGCCTGCAGAATCAACTAGGAGAAAGTGAAATATGGTTTAAATGTTTTTCAGTAAATGTAAAAAGGCCTGTTGCATTTGAATAACATAAAACAAGTGGCTTCTTTTTAAGTAAAGATCAACAATTTACAGCTCACTTTCATTTTTATTTTCACTATAATAAATGTTTTATATTTGTTGAAATGATTGGTGCCAAATTAGACTTTTATGCTAAAGAGCATTTGTTTAATGAATTGAAGCAAAAACAAGTTTCAAGTAACTAGGGCAGCATTTACTATAACATAAATATATAAGTAGACATTTGGTACTTCCAATTTTGGATTCATTTTATACTGAATAAATATTATCAATTCTTAATATGTTACGAAATAGTAGATAATATTTCCAGTTGAATTAACAACATTTTCATTATGTACAATATGCACACCTTTATTTCAGAGTGTAAAGAGCAGAGAACTGTTAAGGTAATGCAGAGAGAAGATATTGTAATGGTGCAGAAGAAACATTCAAACTTGGATCAACTTGAGATTCCTTTTCAATAAAAATAAAAATATGTTGGAAAAAACCACATACAGAAATATTGGAAGAACTAACAGTCATGACATTCCTTTAGATTTGTATTGAGGTCTCTGTAAAGTATTTCATGTCTGTTCCCTATAGATGGTGACAATGATGCAATGACATGATATCTGGTTAAGGAATGATAGAAGTTTTACGATATTCCAACAGTTTACTTGACAAATTAAAGTTGATACGGCCATGTTCGCAAAGCATACATACACAGACAGGATATGAAAAATTATCTCCCAAAAATAACAACAAAAACAGTAATAAGGCAACATGTAAAAATGAAAATTTATTTCAAATTAGCAAAATATCCCCTTTAGACATTGATTTCCTCCGCTGTAATTTGGCAAAATATTGTTTTATGACTTTTTAAGTGAAACACACAAGTTCTCTACTTTTAGTCACATAAAACTGGTACATTTGATATAAAACCAGTCAATCATCATTTAATATGTTTTCCATCTCCCCCTCCCCTCTGGTTCCCTCCAGTCTCAGATCTGTGTCATTTCTACCCAGAGTGAACACACTGACGACAGCCATGAAAGCAGCCAGCATCATAACAGCACATCCTCCAAACATGTGTCTGGTGCCGTTCCCCTCCTCCCCTCCACCTGTTCCTGCCGTCTCCCCATGAAGAGCCAGCAGCCCGAAGCAGGCCAGCAGGTGGAGAGGCAGCCGGAACCAGGCCAGCACACTCTGCCGCTTTTCCTCTGGGATCACCCTGCCGTGGAGAAAGCTGACTGCAGGGAAGTAGAGCCCACTGGCCAGCTCCAGCAGCAGGAAGGCCAGAAAGGATTCACGTGGCCTAGGTTGACCAGGGGTGGTGGAAAAGGTCAACATAAAGAGAGAGAAGAAGGCCATCAACACAGCCAGGCAGAGAACGTGGCCCGGCTGCAGGCGGTAACGGGTGGAGGTGGCCAGGCGGTAGAGCAAGGAGCCAGCCATGCTTGCAGCCATCAGGCAAGAAAAAACGATTCCCAAAGGGGGCCCATGGGGGTCCAGAACTGGGGTCCACAGAAAAACAAAAATGTAGAGGACACTTTCAAACAGAGCCTGCACTCCACCTAAGAGCATGACTCTCCTGTCTGAGAGCAGGCAGCGCAACCCATCATGGCAGCTGCGTGAGAATCGGGCCCTTGCAGACAAACGGGCTACCCCTGTATTTGGGGTGCCAAGAGGCAGTTTCTGTTTTTCCCCTTCAAGACCTTCTTCAGCCTCTTCCTTGCCCCAGTCTGTTAGCACCACCCAGCCACAGCACGCCAAGCAGGGGACAGCCAGGAGAAAGGGAGCCACCGGCCCCAAGTGGAGCCACTCAGCCAGCAAGTTAGCCACCAGCCCTGCTCCCACGGCGAGACCATGATTCCATGTAGCAGCTTTGGTGAAGGTACTGGGGATCCACTCCTTGGGAAAATCGTGTACTTCTACATGACGGTGCACGTACCAGGATTCAAATGTGGTGGTGAGCAGAGATGTGGACAGACCCCCCAGGATCCGACCCACAATCAAAACAAAGTAGTCCGTGGACAGCTTGGTGAGACAACAAGCAGAGTAGGATACGCAGAAGAGAAGACATGTCTGTCTGCGGCCCAAGACTTGAGGGAGCCAGCCTGAAAAAGGGGCAAACAGAACACAGGAGGCCAGGCCACACACATATAAGATCGCTATTTGGGATTCCAGGAAGCTATAGTGGCGGTACAGTTTGTAGAGGTAAGGACCCTGGAGCCAGTCTGCCCACAAAGCCAAAAGGTATGCCCGCAGGAATATACTCTGGAATCGACGGAACGCGGGGTTGGCTACAGCAGTAGGGGCAGACTGAGGTGGGGTGAGGCGGCGTGCTGTGTGCTCCAGGACAACACACAGGGCAAGCAGGAAAATTATGGCAAGATATGCTGTCACCAACATGGTGTGATAAACTGCACCCACTTGGGCTCACACCTGACGTCTTGGGGTGTTTTCAACTCTCTTCTTTATATTTCTCAGCAACTGTGGAGAGACAGGAGAACGGAGATTAAAGACAGAAATGAGAGCGTTTACGTTGCCACTGAATCAGTAATCAGTAATTCGTCGTGGTAATTAGCTGCTAACTTTGCTAATAAGCTTTTGCTTTAGAACATTTTGTTAACAACACAACAAATACAATATTAGCTAGACATAGTAGTGGTGTATTTGGTTACCTGCATCAATGACGGAAAGTTAGACATGTGACAAAATGTCGTTTTGTTTACTTTAACACGTTGAATGTACACTGTCGAAATGCTTTTGTTATTATGGTAACGCTAGCCTACATGCTAACCTACTGCAGACGTTGAGATACAATTACAACTTGCGGAACTAACCTACCATATGTTTTTGATATATTGTTATATACTTTATGGTATATCTTACCGTGCCGTTTGACGTCGGTCCCATATTAGTAAACGGCGTACATTAACCCATTACTAAGTGGTGAATGGTAAGAGTAGCAAACAGACTATTCACTTCCGGGATCCGGGTTATTTTATTTCACCACAAGGTGGCATGGCATCACTACTTTACCTTTTGTTTCCAGCAGGTATGAACACGTTTTCTCATGTTTCCAGACCTCCTGTTTTGCAACTTTCTCAGACCTATCAACTCTAAAGGTAGTTCGTTATGTGAAGTAAGTGTTATTTGTAAAAAAAACGGAACGTGTTCTGAAATAGGCACACAGACTACATATGTAGGCGTACAGCATGCTAAAGGCTAATGCCAATGCACTAGCCAATGTATGACCTAGATTTCTAGCTAGGCAAACACTCGTTTATGTAACCCTACAATGCACACCCAAACAACACAAAGGGTATTATGTAATATAATGACAAGGTACGTCTAACTTAATGTATGCCAAAGCACACTTTTAGTTGCACGAGGCTACTCATTTCTTATATCCATACAGTCCTAAAAAGTGCTGGATCTATTACAAGTTCTGCATCCAAAATCCTGCTTAAGTAAATCAATAGTGAAATAACTTTTTCTAAAATGTTCCCTGTTCCTGTTACTGTTACATGTCAGTATTAAATGTCACTACAGATGTGTCAGTGTGAAAGCAAAATTGTTTTGTCGAAGCTGATTAAGGTGTATTAACAATACATGTAGTTTAGGTCGGACTCCTCCAAAGGGTTGCAAGATAAATACGAGGCCGTAAAATGAATAACTGGAGAGGAAGGAAGAAAGAACAAATCACTGCACATTTGTAGGCTATTTATTATTTGGACCTTTCTCTAATGCTGGATGTATTTGTTTTAAATTTGCGTTAAAGTTAACGAGATTGGCAACCAGTCATTTGATCCTTACTCTTAACAATGTGTACGTTTATAATGTAGGCCTAATAGTATCATAGGCAAAGTAAATAGTAACTATGCCTGTCAAATAAATGTATTACGGTAAATAGTTTAACACTTCCCTCTTAAATTAAGACGTCCTAAAAAATAAAGCAGCATTAAAGCAGCACATTGATCTTAAAATAGTTGAATAAGTGTACTTTCCACCACTGGTTCTAACTTCATCTTTACTACATTTTGCCTGAATGGATACAAATAATGACACAAAAACAGATTAATAGATTATTTGAACTTTATATCATTATATAATTTCTATATAGGAATACTTATTTACAAAATGTACAATCAGCCAAAATCAAACAAACAAACAGTGAGAAGACCAATCAAATAAGATTGCTCACAAAAATATCTCTTGTGTTTGTATGACAAACATTGTGGGCAGAGGAAGGGTGAACGTTGGAGTGAATGCTGGTGACTTCAGGGATTATGCTGGTTGGTTACATCATCAATGAGTCTAAACCATGTCAAAATCCCTATCTGATATTCTCCTGTGCAAAGCCCCCTTGGCATGGCCAAACCCAAACCTATTACGGGAAGGTCAGTACATTCTTCTTTACACCAAACTCATCTGTCCGGTCCATCACATCAAATCAGTCATTGATACCTTGACATTAGGGTCATATAATATTTACAGCATCAAAAATAAACAAAGGAACTACAAATCCAAACATGCATTACGTGTCTCGACCAGTCCAGCAGTCATACAATATAGTGACAGGTATACAATGTTTTTTTGAAATAATAAAACATGCCATTCACTTATGAAGGAGTCAAACTTAGACTTAAGGTGCGCCTGGAAGATTTGTCAAAAAAGTAAGAGACTGAATGTATCCTGTCGTGTACAAGTGCCAAAATAGTGGTCTCATTTGAGTAATGCAGGTGGTATGTTTGTGAAACATTGATACACATTTACCTTTAATATTTCGCTTTTCACTATGTATTATGTACAGGTTCCCTTTACCTTAACCACAGACATACAAAGTCAGTCAGCCCTAATGTTCCCTAAGTGAGTGCTGTCTTTTAGCTACTGCTTAGTGATGGAAGCTGCACAGCATAAGGAATAAACAGAAGTGAACAGATTTTATTCTTAGGTATACTGGACATATTGAGCAAGTGCCCACATAATTTCTCCAAAACAGCAATACTAAATCTACGTGGTCATACATTTCTCTACTGAGACAATGTCTTTCAAGAGGTGTTGAGGTTTATGTGTATACATGAGTAAGTATAATCAATAGTGAATCAAAAGGTTTGTTACTGCCTTCAATTATTCTTTGAAAACCACTCCTCAGGTTTTACAAATCCTTTTTCTTCAATTTTCTAGAAGGTCCTGTCCATGGAAGATAATATCTGTAATTGTGTGTGTTCTGTATGTTTTTCTGTAAAACAGTTTGTGTCTGTGTTCTCCGTGAACAAGCAGCCTGCTTAAGGGTCAATGCGAAAGGCCAGCAGTTTGTCGGAGTGCATATTGTTGAGGGTGCGCAGGTCTGGCAAGCGCAGGAGGAGTTTAGGGAAGAGGGTGTTCTCATCTGGGCGACGGCGAGTGATCAGTGACCGTAGGGCACGGATCAGACCCTCCTGAAGCTGCTCCACAGCCTGCATGTCCAAGATGCCAGAATGATCTAAGGAGCACAGAGGAAGGTCAGTGTTTGACTGAAACAATTACTACACTATTGGTTCATTAATAACATTTTACTCCTTTGTCACTGTTTTCATTATGTAAATAGTGTGCCTCTCTCACCTGCAGACACCAGCACCACAGCCATAAAGAGGGCCATTTCATCAGGCTCTAGCCCCAGGGAGCCCAACTTCTCACTGAAGTCAAACATTGCGTCCAGCAGAGTGCCCATGCCTAAGGCCCGCAGGGTGGACAGTGGGTAAGTTAGGCCGTTCAGGAAAGTTACTGTATGCTCCTCAGCATTGAACAAGGTGCAGAACCTCACCATCAAAACCTAAACACACAAGAAACAAAAAGATGCGTTTGAGTCAAAAACGTACACTAAGCAAACATTTGGACTTGCAAAGAAGGAGCCACATGCCTTACATATTTCATCATAATCATCAAAAATGTATGTCCTTACCTGGAAAGTGCCTGATTTGAGCAGCATGACTTGGTCTTGTTGGCCAAGCTCTTGAAACCCTGGGATGCCCTTGGCGAACTCTACCACCTCCTTGACAGCAGGAGTAAAACACTGCGAGAAGGATTCCCATATCTGCTGACTCGTGCACTCTGCCCCTGATACAGGCCACGCATTGAGGGGACATGCCTTTTAGAAAAGACAAAAGAAATAGAACAATTAATAAGTTGCTGATCAAATAAGACACATCACAAGAGTTATGATCTGATCATATGCTTTCTGCACTTACCAGCACTTTAGCTCCTGAAGCTAATTTCCATGGGCAGGAGGGCTGGTTTTGGGAACTTCCTGCATTGTGAAAACTGTTATGATTGGCAGAGCTGCCCCTTTGAGAGGTTGTACTGTTGGACTGATCTTGATTCTGATTTGTTGAAACTAAGTAGGAGGAGCGATTGTTGTCAACATTGTGGAATGTGGATGTGTTGTCATTAGGGACAACAGGGTAAGACTGATAACTCTGGATGGAGGCGGGGTGAGAGGACACTTGGGGAAAGCTGGCATCCTGAGAAAAGGGACATGTGTTGGAGGAGATGTTAGAGCTCTTGGTTGGTTTCTCTTCGCTGTTGCTGCTGGTGAAGATGTCGCGATAGGCTCTGGAGATTTCCCCGATGGCCTCTTTTGAGTTGCCATCTTCTGTGCAGCTGGCAGTTTCCCTCACTGAAGGGGATTCCATCTCCATGGCAGCTGACTCATTCAGGCTATTCATGTAGCTCTGCATCTCATCCAGGAGCCGCTGCTTCTCTCTTTTGGGGATGCGGCCAAAACGCACAGCTGGTGAAACACAATCAGTGAGAAAAGATCAGTTTTCAGCTATTGTAACAACATGATATTTTGACAAGTTCTCAAACAAAACCTTCGACACATTCTTAAAGATCAAGAGGCTGGCTATAGATTCAGCTAAGCTTGGTGAACCAGTTACCCATGAAACCTCTATACACAGACCACAGAATCACCCTAACATGTGGAAGATTCTAAAGAGTCACATCCCAAGTTATGAGATAAAACTTTCCTCTCCTCACCCCCTTCCCACAGTAACCATCAGCTGGAGAGGCTATTTATAGATCCCCTGCTACCATCTGCCTCATCCTCTTCTCTATCCACCCGTCTCCTTCCTCTCAAGCTCCCTCCCTCCCTTTGTAAGTAGGGCAGTGGGGCAACGTGAGCATGATGTCACCGGCACTGAGATCGTGATAGGGAGAAGGATGAGAGAGGTGGGTTTGAAGAGCATACACGAGTTGCAGAGACATGTTTTAAGAACATGAAGAGGACTGATGTGAGAGACTGATGGGTAACACTGTGTGTTAGTGTTTCTGTGCTGGTGGATTAAAGATTGCAGAACGAGTTTTATAGTATAGTATGTTTAAATGTATTTTTTTGGAAGTGTAGCAAAAGATTCTTCTGCATAAATATTTTGTATTACAAAGCAATGTACTGTTACTCCCATTATGTTAAACATATGACATTTACATACAACTGCAGTGTTAAATTGAATGAGGTGATTCACTTGTAAATAAATAATGCTTTGGTTAGAGGAAGAATAATGTGCCATCATGCCAACGGACTGAACCATTTGCCTATGCTGCAGAGCTAAAGTCACACAGCTGCGTGGTGTGAAATCAGGGTGTAGTAATTATTGTGGGCTGCAGGCAGTTGCATGCGGTTTTCCTGTTTTCGTAATGATTGAAGCAGAGCAAAAATGGGTTTCTAGGTTGTGGTTATTTAGCATTTTCAAGTTTGCCTCTATGAGGGCCAACCTAACTGTTTTCTTATTGAGTCGTATTATGACACCCTATATTCTCTGTGCACCAGAAGTGTCAAGCACATGCAGAAATAACAGCCACCTGTTTACTTGATAAAGCAATGATGGGTGCTGGAGGGTGGAGATAAGCAGAAACCATACTGAGAGGAAGAAGGAAGGCAAACTATACCAAGTAGGTCAGGGTGTGCGAGTACACTATAGGCCTAATTCTGTATTGTTTTTCTAGGTCAGCCCAGCTGTATTCTTAATCTGTAATGATATGTCATCAATCAAAGTTCAGCAATCAGATCTAAAACTACTTGATGTGAGCATCATGCCTGATCACGCATTGGCTGTTCTGCATCCCTTGCTAAAATGTTGTCCCTCATTAATTGCTGTAAGACGTTCTATGGGCATACACAATGTAATCGAGTTGACCCTGTTCCAATTTCCTAAAATAATTCCTGTGTTTGCTGCAGTTTTCCGGATGATAGATAGCTTTGGGGACGCCAAGGCTCCTCTTCTCATAAATCATTGTCTGAAGGGGAGATGGTGGGTACGTGGAGGGGGAGGTACTGTACTGAAAGAGCATAGAGGTAAGCAAATTGTGGGAGGATGCTGCAAAGGCACGAGAAAGACACACAGAACATTAAGAGAGTGATACAAGGCCAGATGGTAGTGTTTGGCAGTGCGGTGACAAAGAAGGGCAAGACAGTTGCAGGTCTGCTGATTAAGTTAGTGGCTGAGCTACTGGCACGATGACCTCAAAAGATTTTCCGCATTACATTTTTCACACAGACCTAGATATCAGCACTCTGCCTCTTTCAGGCCACCTAATTCCCCTATGCTTTGGCTAATCAGGGCACTGTGGCATTTTGGCACAACTGCACAAGGGCCTCTCTCATGAAAAATGTGTCAGGATGTCTCACCATCTCTTGACATGCCAACAGAGAGGCATTTCTTGAAGCGGCAGTGTTGGCACCGGTTGCGGTTCATGCGCATGATCAGACAGCTCTCATTCTTCACACACATCTTGTAGTTGATGTTCTGCTGGATGCTGCGGCGGAAAAAACCCTGAAACAAAAATAAAATCACATGAAACTGGTGCACTGAAAAGGAACACATTGTTGAATCAATCTGTGTGATTTTTCTTATCAGGGTCTTACCTTGCATCCTTCACATGCATGAACTCCATAGTGGAAACCAGATGCAATGTCACCACAGACTTTGCAAAGCAGGACCATTCCACCTGTCTCTGAGGAAGGGTTCACAGACTGTTAGATCATCTGCAAAATATCGATTAAAGTATAAATCTTAATGCAAAACAACAGTGAGGAAACACTTACTTGTGAAAGCTCCTGTGAACCCGCATGGCCTCTTTCCTGCAATGGGGTGTGCAAACGTATGCTGTGGAGTGGCTGCCGCTGGGGGGGCACTTTGGAGCTGTGGAAACTGGAATACCAGTTTGGAGGATAAGGTTCTGCATGAAGCTGCCCTTTGTTTAACAACCCCAATCTCTGTGAAGACCACCTCCTCTGGAGATGATGGCTGGGAGTGTGGAGAAGGGGACTGGGTCTGATACCCACTGGAGGGGCTTCCAGGACTGCCGAGGCTGGGGCTGGAGCTGCCGGAGGTCCCTGCGTACAAGATGACGCCTGCAGACAAGGGACAGAATGGAGAACATCAGACCTCTGAGCTGAAAGTTTGCGATCAGGTCAAAAATATCATTTCAAGCTCTAGACTTAAAGCAGCACATAATGTAATTATCCAGATATTGGAAATATTATTATTAAGATTATATTATATTATAATAATATGTTTTATTATTATTCTTTTGTATATGCATATATATGAAAGTGATGGCTTAATCAACATCACACATTTTTACGTTGGCTATCCCTATTTTTATTTGTAAATAAGCAACTATATAACTTTTAACGTGATTTAAAGTCGCGCAAATTCTGGGCAGCAGTGAACAGCTCTGCTAATTTGCCGTGTCTTTGTCCTGAGTTCAATATGCATAATGTTGCGCACGAGCGGATACAGTAGGCGCTAAAAATCAATCAACAAATGTTTATTTATATAGCCCAATATCACACATATTACATTTGTCTCAGTGGTCTTCACAGTTCACACAAATACTGCTGTTAGCACAGCAACAAAGCAGGCAGGAGAAGGAGAACCAACGAAAGGCTCCTTTTGTAAATAATTCCTGCGTCATGCTCATGCAGTAGGCTATTTATAAATAACCCGTATATGTGGAATGTTCTTTTCGTCGTTCATCTGAGGATGGTTGTACATTTCGCCCCCCGCCCCTCTCTGTCTTGTAGTCATGCGTTGTGGATGAGCTGAGACGCGGCCTCACGTGTCTGCAGGGTCTGCTGCCTTCTCCGCTCCAATAATAGCCTCGCGCTTCTGGCACCGTGGCCTGCGCCAGCTAACTGCACGACACCTGACCGCCACCTCACATGCATGGACTGCTGACACGGTTTGTGCTCTGACTGAAATCCGCAGTCTCGTGTCGAAATACACGTCAACAATCTAAACGTCAGATCGTTGTTTACAAACACAAGCTGACTGGGAAGCTCCCCGGGCGTCAAGTGGCACCATATCTCAGCCACTGCTGTTCATGCACCACCAACAATTGGAGAATGTGAGTCACGTTTTTGCAGAGAAAAAGTCTCAGCTGTACTGGACTGGTGTATTAATATACTAACAACTCAGTGTACAGTAGAGTCCAGCAGAGTGACGTTTAATGACACATTATATAATGGGTAATATTCCAAATAATACAAACAAATATGGTTTCAATGTAAAACTTCTTCCATGATGAAATATGGATAATATTCAAATAGCCTATAGAATACTTTGCATCCAAAATCGTGCCATCATACATTAGTTTAACTCAGCCTTTAAATCATGCACAAGTGCAGCAGACCTCGTATGTGTGATGCTGGCGGAAGTATTTGTTTTAGCCCTTATGTTTTGATAATCCCTCAACCAGCACATGTTGGCGGTTTGTTGACTCATGCCAGAACCAGCAGACCCGAGCCTCAACTCTTCCTGAGTTTACATTCAGACATAGCCCAACCCCCACTGCAACCAAACACATTGCAGGTCCACCTGAATCACATGTACAGGAAGTATTTATGAATTACCTGGATAGCTGCCCTGCTGTAAACACTGTCAATGAACAATCCCTTTTACAATCCGCGAGTAGTGATGGACAAATACTATCAAACCTCCATGTGTCAAGTGCCATAGTCAAAAGGTTAATATATAAACATGTCACACTCCCTTCATACATGTGGTTGTATTGTGATCATAGCATCATTGCCACATATGGTTAAAGAAGTCAAAGAAAGCTGTAGGTGTCATCAGCCCTGCTTTATATTCTTAGTATTGGCAGTGTTTCACATGTATCTATTTATGCTCATGTAAAGTTTAGTCTACCCATGCAAACCCTAATCTGACTTGGACTGGTGGGAGGCAGAGAAACGTGAGCAGTGAGCACAGGCACAGCAGTTCCTTTCTTGTCTTTTATCTTTTACTTTCACTCAATCAACTTATAATGTAGGACATGAAAAGACCCACAGTTAAGGTGACCATAATAAGTGTTGCCCTTGTAACGTTTATAACTAATATTTATTATATGTAAAAGCCAATAAAGAGTTGTGCTACTTAAAATAGCGAAAGAGTGAGCACTACTTGGGTGTTTGCAGTATACTCCATAGGCTTGTGTAAGTAGGTCAATATCACAGGAACTTGTTAGAACTCTGTGTATTTGCCTCCAGCATCTCTGATGCTGTCACACACTCTGGCTCATGCACTGACCATGAGGAACTATAGGCTATCAGAGCATCACAGAGGATATAATACATAAACACCAGGATATGATTTGAAATATATAGCCTTAGTAGTCTTAATGCCCTGGGTTTTACAGTTGTTGTGGCTGAAATTGCTGCATGTCTGGCATACACGCTATCCAACATAGATTGAAAAACATCCTTTTGTAGGATATGAGGGATGCAGCCTTAATGTTTCTAATCCGATATCTGTTACAGCATCGTTGGCGAGGGAAGCCGATGAGAGGAGAGATGTTGTGTTTAACAGCAGAGTCACGTTCCAATTTCCAGCTGAAACCCACCCTAATCCGATCTAAAACGACGCGATGGGTAGGCCTACAGATGTTGCAGAGTCGAAATCAAGTCAGCTCTTACCGCACTGCGAGCTCTGTTTCAAGAGGGGGGGGGGGCTTCGATACAAGCAAACGGCGCATGTGGCGGGAAAACGTGACGAGAGAGAAAAAAGCAAATGCATAGAATCGCTGACCCACTGACCAGGCTCACCATCGCCGCAGGCAACATCCGCACAAAAGCGTCCGTGAGAGCGGGGAAGTGGCGGGGGGAGGGCCCGGGGAACTCACGCGTCGCACGCGGCTCAGAGAGGGAAGCCACGTGAGGAGGCTTTTGACGGAGTGTTCTCTGGGAAGACTCGAATCTGCGCTCCAGCCAGAAGCCCGAGCTTCTACAGCTCGCCAGGCGCTTCACAATTAAAGAGCCACATTAAATAGAGCAGCATGTTATGTGACGGGGTGGTCTGTGCAGCAGCATCAGCAGCGCGTGCTGTCAGCTTGGCTGTTTCTAGGTTAGGAACAATATGTGAAGTATGTGGCCAGAGTGACCCAGGTTTAAATTCTGAGGAAATGCAATATGAACACCTACTTTTCTAATAATCACGTTATTTCTTCCAAATGATGGCCTAGTTTTCGTAAAACCATCTTTTATAATGATAATTAATTACTAATTTAATTATTGTAAATGGCCTAAGAATATTGGAAATGGTCAACTGTAGGCTACCACTCAGAAAAGCTTCGCAGGCAGTATTGTTTTGGTTAAAAAGTTGCAATATTACCAAATAAAAGTAATGAGAATACTAATTTAAATGTGGCCCATACTGTGTTTGCCTTTGAGAGATTAAGGGGGCTTGTCTTGTTAAATGACAGTCACATCAAAGTACAGTTAAGTTAACCTCTTCACTTTATGTCAAGGATGTATGTTGCAACTTGCATAATGAGGATGTACAAATGTGTAATTTAAATGATTTAGTTTCTTTCAAAACATGGGATTAACTCTTACAATTGATCCTGAATGCTTATGTTATGTTGATGTAAACGTTAAACTTATAATTGCATATTTATGTTGGTTTTGTATGCTAGTATAACAAATGGGATTTGAATTCTTGTTCAATCCAATTACCCAATAATTTCTGCAGGGAAGGGGTTATGTGTCAACAAACACATGCACACAATCATTTAATCTTCTAGACTTTATGATCGGTACAGCCCCCCACTGCAGACATATTTTTTGCCAAGTTTAATGTTTATTAGCTTTGTCTCTGATCACTTCACTGACCCCATGGATAAAATCAAGTCATGTGAATTCCAATAACATTAAAGCTCAGGTAAACCGGTTCAAGGTGTTCTTTTAGAGTTAGAAAGCTGAGAGGAAGACAACATAAAGACGTATGGAGAGATACAAGATGCACTGCCAGTTAAATAGAAAATAAGCAATACAATAAAAATATTGAAAATATATCAATCGACAATCAAATTAAAGCTTGAAATGACCAATTTTCCCCTCAACAACAAATAACATCCTTCAAACATCACACAAAACCAGTAAACCCAGTATGCATCTTTATAGGCTAATACTACATCTGTACTATCTGTGATTACACATTTAACGGCATTGCTTGTTCCGTGACAAACACTGACCTACTTTATCCACATAAATAGAAAGTCATAACTCGGTGAGTGTATTGCCCTCAGATTAGAGTTACATGATGACGCTGCTTACAGGGAGCGCCCATCACCTGTACTGTAACGTGACTATCGCTGTTGTAAATGATTCACCATCAATTAGCAAGGGGAAGCACAAAGCATGTGCACCTTTGGCTGACCTCGAGAAAGCCCTGTCTAATAATCTTCACGGTTATCATGTAACCTGCAGGCACCGATAATAGAAACAAACACAACCTTTACGCCAAACTTTCTTTGTTTTTTTCCAACGTGAGGTGATAAAGGGTTAGTGCACATAAAGTGCTGGCTCTGGAAGATTATTAATACAGTGAGAGCCAGTGCACTGATGCTCCACGTGAGTTTGTTTTCATGGAGAGTAACAGGAAGTGGCCAGCCTTCCCACAACCTTATGGTGTTCTAACTGGGGCACCGCTGAGTTAAAAAGTAAAAACAAAGTTTGCGTAGAGTCCTCCTGCATTGTACTTTTATTAAAGTTTACATGATAATTCCCGAAGACCAAATCGCACGAGTCTTATTATAATAAAGAAAAACTCATAAGTCTAACCTGCTAAATTTATATTTCTGGAATCTAATGTTTGACCTATAATTATAATTTACACTTTAGATTGCACACGGTTGACAATTACCATATTTGGCAACAAATTAAATGTAGAGATTTCAGTCAAATAATAAATAATGCCTTTTTGCATTATAGCCTATTAAATATTTCTTACACTTAAACTGAAGTTTTATATTTTTTATTTCAGGTTTAGATTGAGTCAGACACATCTTAATAGTTTTCCCCTATTGATTGTTAGCAACAAAATCATTGAAAACGCTGCAAACCAATTCCGCAATCTTAGTTCAGAATTGCTTATATAATGGATAAGTGAAACTTACCACCACCAGGGCTGTTATCCATGTTCTCTTGTAGATGGCTATCACTTTCAAACGTACTTGAAAATAGATGTAGTTGAAAGTCACAAGACTGGAGCTAAAGTCTTTTGAAGACAGGTGAGGAAGTCAAAAAACAGCTTTGCGTAAAACACCTGCTCCAAACAGCTACAAATATCAAGAAGTTATGGAAATGTTTCCAGTGAGCGTAAAGTTGTCTCCCAGTAAGTTGTAGAGATGTGTCTCTCTTGGTGCTCAGCTCAGGTCTGGCAGAGGTGAGTTGAACAGACTGGTCTTCTCAAAGATACATGGATGCCTTCTGTTCTTGAGATACTGCGCCTCGACGCGAGCGAGTGTGGTGTTGCACGAGCGAAGATTAAAAGATTCTCATGATGAGAAAAAAAAAGATAAATCAGCATATCCGTGAGCTAAGTGTCAGGCATGACATACACACCCACTGATACACACACCCACATCTATCACGTTTGTCGGTGAGTATGTGAAATGTGACCGCCTTTTAGAGTGATCAACTTGTGTCTGTTAGTGTGGGATTTGACTCACTCTTTGTATCTCGCGGACTCCCTTCTCTCCCTCTCTCTCCTTCACGCTTTTGTGCATTTTCATTGGCGGGGATCTGGAGCGGAGGGGAGTGTGATGCGTTTATTCGACCGTGCATGAGTTCAGTAAAGCCACGCTACATGTGAGCCCTGCATGTGCCGGGGAGAGCGCTGCCCTACTGATACACTTTTTATGCAAAAAATACTGAGCGTGTGATGGAGAGATTGGAGGATGAAGCACATGGACAATAGGCGTGGCTCACCGTGACTGCTGCCTCTCTGACAAGTAGCCCTGCAAACGGATGGCAAATACTGAAACATGCCAAACACTGACATGCCATTCAACAAGCAAGTGTAAAGTTTAAAGCCCCTGTGCCAAAGGGAACTGTAGATGCGCAACTAACCCTATGGCACGACAACAATAATATATGACGAGCCGTACGTAAACAGTCAATTGCGGATAAAATATTGAATGCTGGGAAATGCAAATCCCATATTATTTCAGCATGTATCTGTTTCGTGAAAACAGTCCCACTCTCCCCAGGACATAGTATTAAACAAATATTTATTTCACTTAAGCATACTCCTTATTTTAAATGTTTGCCTAAAGTTAAGTTGTATAACATTCAGTCAGCAACAAACTCTGTAACCTGCTGCGTAACATGCAGGTTCATACTCAGCGTGTAGAAAGCGCCACCCAGTGGTCATTCATGGCATTGCCGCATACACAGGATCTGTCTGTCAAGAAAAAATGAAGTTTTAATGGAAGAGCATACTTAAATGTTGTTACTTCAGAGATATTTAGTCTTGGTCATGAAATATTTTCATATGTTGTAAATACTTACATTAAGTTGGATTTACTTTCAACACACATTGCTGATAATCAGAAATACATTTTAAACAGTAAGACATGAGTTAAGCATACAACTGAAAAATACACTGCTTTGGTATAAAGGTTATTCTTAAAATGAACCAAATTAATGTTTTGTATTACAAAGCTGTAATAAGTGTGTTCTATTATTATAATAATGTATGTACATGATTATTTTCCATCTAGTAATTCATTTCTTTAATTCCCCTTGTCATTGTTACTTATTTAAACAGTATAAAGACGTCTTAAAGTTGATTAGCTCAAAAAAGTAGATCCTGCTTAATTTTGACAAGGATGAGCAGATTAAGTAGCTATTTATTTACATAGGATACATACATGGTAATTAGTGGTGTACAGTAACTAAGTACATTTACTAAAGTACTGTACTTAAGTACAATTTTGAGGGATTGGTACTTTAATTGAGTATTTCATTTTCTTGCTACTTCTACCCCACTACAAATCAGAGGTAAATCGTGTACTTTTACTTCACTACATGTATTTTATACCTTTAGTTACTTTGCAGATTTGGATTAATGATGTTAAATATAATCAACACTTAAATAATAACTTAATATTCAAAAGCTACCCTGCAGTATATAAAGTAATTAAAATTAGCTGCACTTTTACAAGCTTTGATAAAACTTAAATGCATCAATAATTATAATCAAAACATATAATATATATTATTCTAAAATAGGCCAATCTGTACTTATGTTGGGGTCATTTAAGTATGTTTTGATGCTTATACTTTTGTACTTATATAATAAAGTATTCCTGCACTTTTCCTTACATATAAATAATTGACATACACAATCCTACATAGAAAATATATAAATCACAACCGGGAATACAAGAGTCGTTTAAACTGCAGGGGGCAGAAAGTGCATTAGCCATTTAGGTAAGTCATAGTTTTGAGTAGGCTACTTCTTCCACCTCTGGTAATTACTTGTTACTTGTTTTTGTTTTTTCGTGGATTCCTTTCTTATGGGCTTAGATATGTCTCATAATGATTTGTGTGAACATAAAAATAATTTGTGTGTAAATATGTGATTTGTAAATGTAAAACACCATCCACAAATGCATTTAAAATATTTGCAAACTCACAAATACATTTGCAAATGTAAAACGGATCTGCAAATACGCAAAATATTTTTACAAATAAAAAAAAAATCTTTGAATATCTCTTTAACATTTACAACTTTCGATCTAGCATTTTTGAATCAATTTTGTATTTGTCGACCAAAAATGCGCTTGTGGATGATCTCACATTTCTGCTTGTGGATCTCAAATCTCTGCTTGTGGATCGTCTTTTCACACACACGGGCTGCAGTCGAATAGTACATTTTTCCTTCCTAACCGAGTGAAATGACCTGGAAGTCCCTCTGATACCTCATTCACACCAACGGTGTTTCAGGGCCGGTTCGGAGCTGGAGCTTGAAAAGCACCGGGTTTTCCTGTTCACACCGCAGCGGAGCAGCCTCTTAGTTCCGGAATCCGGTTAGTTTCAAGCACCAAAAAATTGTCCGGCCAGAGCAAAAGCACCGCATACGTCACGCTTACGTCGAGGCAGGGGCGGGATCAACTCCTGAACAACAACAAGAAGCCGGCGTTTTATCCAGTTTGAACACAACAATGGAGAAACTTAACAAGCAGCAGTGGTCCACTAAAGAGACCAGCTACCTACTGGGAATATGGTCTTCTGAAGAGGTACAGAGGAAGCTGGAGCACAATCGGCCATTGTTGTTGTTGTCGGCGTCAGCTGTGAGGGGTTTCAGTTTGGCTTTATGAAGCAGGCACGCAAACGGTTACGTCATGACGCAAACGATGACGCAATGACGCAGCACCAGATGGACTCTGGGCAGTGTGAAAAGAGCCGGAGCTAAACCGAAGAACCGGTTCTGAACCTGAAAAGCTCTAGCACGGAGCTTGAACCGGAGTTGCGTTGGTGTGAATGAGGTACAGCCATGATAAGTGCCGTTCGAATTCTCTAAATCAGGGGTGCCCACACTTTTTGGGCTGGTGAGCTACTTTTGAAATGACCAGCTCACCGAGGTCTACCAACCAAAAATAAAATCCCAAATTGCAAGGGTTGCTGAATAACACGTTTTATTTATACATGGGATAATAGGGCTGCAACAAACGACTAATTTGATAATCGATTAATCTATCGATTAATGAAACGACTAATCGACTATTCAGACTATTACTGTCTGCCTTGCACAATTTCTCAAACCCTCTTATTTAGCCATCAACTTTTAGATTTAGCTTGAGGTTGTTTTAGGCATGTGGAAACTAACAATGAAGACAATAAAGATGAATACTTGATTCAAAAATACATATATTATTAAATTAACAAATTGTGAACAAAACTAACATTGCTTTTTATTTAAATTAAATAAATAATATTTCACATCAAAAGAAACAACAATGTTTTAACAAATCGTATTAAATAATCTGATGACAGAACTGTGAACAGAATAGCTGAAACTTTAACAAAATAAAGAGTAACTCAGTTTCCTATAATCATTAACCCATGTTTGAATCATTGAGTTAACTGCGTGTGTTGCTGCTAGCATACATAACACCTGACGTGGAAACGTTACTCGTGGATGGGGCTGCAGAGCTGCTAGAAAGACAGTCGAACCCGGTGCATTCCTCCGTCTGGATGTGGAGCACTTTTGCTAAATGTTTAGACACATTGCTCGTGTTACCGCCCTCACATGCTGAACTCTCTTGGCAAGGAGCATTGTCCACCTCAAGACGGGTAACATTTAACCACACCTTGGAGCGCTTCTCTCCGCCATCTCCTCCGTGTGTTGCTGCTTGTAGCAGCCGCGTGTGTGTAAACTGCCCCGCCCCCTCGCGCACAGACGGGGGAGAGAGATCTCGTCTCGATTGGAAAGATCGAAAATACACCGACATTTGTTTGTCTTTTTGCATGTTAGAAACGAGTTGGCGACACTAAGATTGCGAGATAATATTTGTGTAGCAATAATACATGACCTTTCTCTTTCTCAACTCGCTACTCGGAGGGAAGTCGCTGTCATATGCCTTGTGAACACTCCGATAATGCCTCTCCACGTTACCTTTCTTTGGCAGAGCGACGCTTGCTTTACAAATAAGGCAAATAACCTTTGAATGTGACATTGATTGATTGATTGAAAAGTTTATTAACAGCTTGTATATTGGGTACAGTACAGTACAGCTCAAAACATACAATTGTTAAGGGGATGCAGACCAGAGAAAGACTTTCGTCTTGTTTACATCAGGGTCCCCCATTTCCAATTCATCATGTCATTTAAGACATATGACATATTTGACATACAGATGGCTTATTTACAATTTACATTTTAGATTTCGTTCTAATACATCCTAACCGGACATTTAAGACATACCAAGTCTACAGATATACAGTTAGTAACAGAGTCTAAAATGCGAGTATATACATAGATGGGGGGGGGGGGGGGGGGGAAGCTGTCCATTGAACGACAGGTTGAGATTTGTACCATTACCGGGGCCAGTTTTGCAATGCTCTCCCCCGAAGGTGCTCTTTAAGAGAGGTTTTGAAGGTAAGTATAGTTTTACTTTCCTTTACAGTTGTGGGAAGAGCGTTCCACCTTGATGTGGCATAATTGCGAAACGTGTATTCCCCCTTTTTTGTGCCAAATCTGGGTTTCACATGATTTGTGGAGCTCCCTCTGGTGTTATGATCATGGTATTCCTTGACCTTTGGGAAGAATTTTGACATGTACATGGGTACCATAGAGGTGTAGTGGATCTTGTAGACCAGGTCCATTGCAAGTAGCTGTACTCTGTCGTCTACTCTAAGCCATCCTAGGTTGTCAAAGTGGGCAGAGGTGAGGTGGGTTCTAGATGAAAGGTCAAGCAGTAGTCTGACCAGTTTATTTTGCGATGTTTGAAGTTTTATTTTTAGCGCCTTGGAGGTGCTATGGTACCATGACGTGCAAGCATAGTCATAGTACCCTTGAATGAGTGCTCCTGCCAGAGTTTTCAGGGTGTTTTTGTTTACCAGAGAGGAGATCCGGTATAGGAATCTAGTTCTTTGATTGACTTTTTTTATTACATTCGATGCCATTTTGTC